ACAAACAAACAAACAAAAAATAAATTAGCTAAAGAGTGAGAGCAAGTGTTCACATTCAGAAGTACGCAAGTCTAATCTGACATTTCTACATTGTTCTGTCATTAAGTCTAAACATTCATAACACAACATCTCATTTGCTTTAAAGTAAAGCTAGCTAAGAATAAATTAACAGGCCTGGCAAATGCACTGCATCTTTGATGCACCTAACATTCTTAAATACTCATAAATATTCATCAAAAAACAATTACATCTAATTAAATAACATAAAATTATTAATAAGTACAAAACTAGCGTGTTCTAAAACACCTCATAAATAAATACAGCATCGAACAGAAAGGAAAAGAAAAATACAGTGTAAACTTTGGCAAAGCTAATCATCAAGGGTAAAAGGGTTAAGAGGGAGATTTGGCAACAAAAATGTGTTTGCTTAAATTAATTCACAATTAAAAATATAAATTACATTAAATAAAAAAAATCGCATATTGCAAAAACACACACAAAAAAAAAAAACCCTAAGAAGGAATACAGTAGTAGTAAATTTGGCAAATAATTTTTAAGTACTTAAAAACAAGCAATGAAAACCTCTTTGGGACTGTTTTTGGTTTCATACCCTTCCTATTTCATTTTCATTTATCTTTTGTTAGTTTGGCAGGTTTAGCCTGTATTAAATCCAGACGAACTGCAACTAGGAATGGAAAATGGCCACCACCCCCTGAACTGTAAGTCACGCCCCCTCCTTGGGCGCTGTTAGCAGGACGGGACAGCCAGGTGGGTGGAGGATTTCTTTGGACTAGAAGCTTTACATACAGAAAGACAGAGAGAAAACTAAGGATAAAGCTATTTGACCGATATTTTAGCAGTTTCTCTCAGCAGATGTCGACTTGGTCTTTTTTGGTTTGGTTTTATTTATTGTTGTTGTATTCACGGAGCAGCAGCATAGTTCTTCCCCCCAAGGAACAAGCTAACATGAGCTTTCTTTGCTACAGAAAGGGGATTTTTAGGTTTCTCCTACAGCATGGCAAGTTGGGCTACAATTTTTACAGAAACCTTCTATCCAACTTTAAAAACTTTTTAACCCTAGCCAGCCGTGCTTTAGTCCGTCAGCTGAAATTCACTTCAGGGTTACAGTAATTATTGTTATATACTGTATGATAGAATAGATTATTGTACAGGTTTGTAAGTGGTCCAAATCTGATCTTAAACAGCATGCAGCTTTTTCTCTTTTAACAGATTTTTAGCTGGGTTTGGGTTGAAAAGCACAAAGTCAGACTTGGCATAAAATAAACTGATTGAAAAGTGACAGTGTGCTACTGTTAGTACAGCAAAAAATCTTTGGTATGCACTGTACAGTTCAAATAGCACTACCGCTGTCATTCTTTCCATAGCAGGAAGTGTGCTAGACAACAGCAACTAGCTAGAATATTTAAACTGGGTGCAAGCATCACAACTAGCTGATGTTGTTTCTTAATGCTAATTCACCAAGCTCAAATATGTTGTCCTATTGGAGTTGGAGGTAGACATTGACCTGTGTGAAAAGCTAAAAGGGAGAAACATTTGTATTTTCCAAATACTCAAGTAGTTCTCCCTCGGTGTGCAGCAGAAGATTGTTTTTATGTGTGGTGTGGTCTGGTGGTAAAGTTTGCAGGTAATGATGGCTACATTGATGCCATGCTGAAGGAACAACCAATAAAAGTAAAAGCTGTAAGTTTGGGGTAAATGATCCACAGAAAAATAAAATTAGCTTTTTGCAAGCTCATGACCTTAAAAGCTTAGAAGTAGCTAGCTAGCTAGCTTACAATCAAACTAGGTTAATTGAAAGAGACATGTTGGGTAAGTTTGTTAGCTAACTGCATAAAGGAAATGCTACTAGTTTTAAAATCAAATGATAAACAAGGCTTTGGGATGGCCTTTATGCTAACTTCCAGAACAGCTTAAAACTATCTGATAAGCTAGCTAGATAGCTTGCAATCCAAGTAAAGTTTTCAAAAGAAAAATGTTGGCTAAGGTTGTTGGTTTTTAATAAAGATAAATGATTGCTGAAAATCCAAATTGTTTTAAAATACAAGCTAGATCAGCTAATATAAGAATCCAGAATAGTGTATAAGCCAGCTAGCTAACTCGTAATCAAAGTGAGTTCTTTGAATGAAGCACGTTGACTGAATTTGTTGGTTTTAATAAAATTAGACTGAAGGTAATACTACTTGCTTTAAAGTCAACCAATGAACAAGTTGAATTAGCCTTTAAGCTAACCTTTAATGTTTAATGTATAACAGGTGATCAACAATAATAATAAAAAAACAACAACACACCACTATCAACAGTACATATGCTGCAGGTATGTTCATGCTGGTTAACAAAAATGGGTATTTTATTTGGGGGGGGGAGAACTGCTACTGGAGTTAACGGTGAATCTTTGGTTTGTTAGCTGATGAGGTTTCTGTTGTTCTTTTAACCTTTTTTTTACTTTGAAAAACTGCATAGGCACACGTTAAAGACACTCTTCAACCGTGAGAAACACATTAATGTTCTGCCTTTTTTTGGGTGGATCGAAGGGAAGAAAATGGTCAACGGTGTCCTCCGTTCGTTCCTTCCCTCCTTCTCATGTGGTTTTACCCTTTTTCAGTCCCCAACTTGCTTCCCGTTAAAGATTGCCTGACTTAATATCAGGCAGAACAAAGCTACTTCTCCATTCTCGTGGTGTCATCCTTCCTCATGTCCTCCCTTGTCATCGTTGTCCTCCATCCTCGACGTTGTCGGCGCCACTCTTTTTTTCTTTTTGTTTTTTTCTTTTTTTTGGTAATAATTCTCTTCCATCATCAGTTTTTCCCATTTGTTGGAACAGTTAGGTGCAGAAAAAAAGTTTTCTTTGGTTTCGATTTGTCAATAAATAGAAAAAGTCTTAAGTGTCCTTTTTTTTTTTTTTTTTTTTAAATGTTAAATCGTTCTTAAAGCCTTTGGCTTGCCTCTAACCAGGCCAAGACTCAGCCTGGGGTTTCTAAGGAGCAGGGGCTGCTGACTGGCGCGTTTCCTTTGGTTTGGTTTCCTTTCTTTTTTTGGTTTGATAGCTTGAGTGAAAGATGATTGATGAAGTAACTGCAAATGGTAAAGGCTGCCAAAACTGAGCTGGAGGTGATGGTGCTTGAGGTTTTGTGGGTTTGTTAGTATTTACATCACGCGTAAAGGCTGTAAAGTGTGACAGTAAAACCTTCAAATCAATGGGTATTGGAGGATTTGGTAGCTATGGATGCTTGGACACAAGGACAGTCACAAATATGGGCAGAAGAGTCTAGTTTTTGTGTCACAGCCCATCTGTCTGTTGACTGTCCATCCCTTTTACCAAGCATCCAACTTTCCTACACTGCAAACAAACTACATTTTTGAGTGTTGTCCTCAAACTTGCATTGCATTAGAGCAAGTTGACATTTGCTTTATCTTAATAAATCAGCACAGTTTGATGTACACATTTATCAAAGATCATTTGTTTGCAGCAAATGCTCTTTTCCAACCCACTGACCCTCTGGAAGAGACAGACTAACCAGGCATCGTCTTTAGATTGTCCTCTTTAACTATTACAAAGGCCCTGATTCGCCTGGACAGTTTGTCCTTCTTGGGCTCAGATGGTTAACTGGTTCTGCGGATGTGTTGATGCAGTGGAAGGTTTTGGTTTGCTTACCTGTGGTAGCAGTGAGGGCAGATCAAATCTTTCCAAAAAGCATCTTGGCTTAAAACTGGATTTATACCAAAAGATTTTCAATCCAGAACATTCTTTATTCTTAAAAGAAGTTCAAGTTTTGGTTTCAATATTTTTTGTGGTTGACTAAAAAAGAGCGGTAGAAATCACTCTCAACATAACGTAGCCTTGTTTTCCCAATAATTGTGCTTTTTTTTTTTCACAAATTTTGACTTAAGGGTCCAAAGAAACCAATGTAGGAGCATTTTTGTGGCATCTTTCCGATCTAAACTGGGGATAATGTCAAGATTATAAACCTAAATGTCACCTGCTTAGTGTTTGTTCAATAAGAAATTAACTCTAGTGCAACAGAATAGATGCAACTAGATGGTGAGAAAAGGCGGCTGGCCGGCCGATGCTTATTTAAACTGTTAGCAGTCGGACGTACCGCCCACGGGACATTGGATGGTTTAGGGGACTAATAGGACTGCTAAGGGGTTAATGCCAAGATGTTTGCAGGGTTCTTGTGGATGACTAATTTAAAGCCCAGAACTTCTTGACATTTTTTATTGTCTTAGATTTAATGTTAATAATATTGAACTATTATCCCCATCCTACTTTTAGTTCACCACCTTGAGGATCACAGATTTTGGTCACATGGTTATAAATTTCAGCTCTAGTCTGACTTTCATTGGTTTGAAAACCTCATTTTTCTTTGCAAACCAAGGTGGTATTAATGCTAAGATGCTTTGTGGAGTGTGCTGCCCTAATGGATGCGTTTATGGTAACAGAAGTGATGGGTAGGTGAAGCAAGGGTAAACTGGAGCTTAGCTTTGGTTTGGCTGTGAATTCAGGGAAGTGATTGGGAAATGACTCTTTAAAGTTGTGTGTGTGTCTGAAATCAGTTTGTGTGTCTGCATGTTTGTTTGTACATTCGTACAGTACATTATGTGACAACAGACGCTGAATGGATTTCAGCCACTGTTTAAAAAAAAATGGCATCCTGAGTTTTCTAAGATGTGATGACCACTCGGCTTGGCAGAGAGCCCCGGTTCTATTGCAAAGAAAATGTGCTTCAAGATTGTGCTCACGTACATCATATATATTCATATATTATACAGTAATACTCCATCAAACGCTAAATATGCTGAGAAAGCTTGTAGTTGGCTCAAATTATGAAGAAGTTGCATGTGCCTTGGTGAGTATTTGTGTGTGTGTGTGTGTGTGTGTGTGTGTGTGTGTGTGTGTGTGTGT